AATAAACATTGGGAAACAGTTTTCACGACTTTGTTCTTGATTTCTATGAAGAAATGTTTGTCTTTTGTGGGTCTTTCCAAGTACAGTTTCCATCTTAAACTTTCAAAAGGTTAAAATCTTAAGATTATAACAAATTTAAATGCAAATTCGAACGCCAATTATCATAATGATCTGATTAGAAGTCCACCGTTCTCAAAGCCCTTAACTGGTTTACTCCAAACACAACCTTTTTCAGCCACTCGATTGAGCCATCGTTATTGAACCTGTTGCCTCGTGGCCCGATTGGGATTTCATTCATCCAAAATAGAAACCCCCAAATCCCACGAAACACCAGCTTACGCAAAAGCCTTCAACAGTTTCGCGTAATTATGCAAATTTTTGTGTTGCTTTATCCAAAGCCCTAACTAAACGCTACAAATTAACCAAGCCTCATAATCTGACAAATAATTTTCATAAATTTAAATAGATCTTTGCCACCTGCTTGTTAGGTTTCCCAGAGGGCTTATGAAACACCAACCAGACCAACGCACATATCGGAGCAATTAAAAATCGATTTACATGCATGTTTGTATGTTGTTTTTTGAATCAAAAGTGTTCCCTCGCCCTCTGATGTCTGATGTTTGAGGTTTTGGGTGAAAATTAATGACTTCCAGTGAAAGTAGTTTTGTATAACAAAACCCAGCGGCGGCGGTGGCTGCTTAGAGTGTAAACCAATAGGTAAGAAACCATGGGACAGGCCATGCCCACCACTGGCCAAGATCTTAAATGCCCCAGCCACCAGTGGAGAGGTTGTTGGCCCCCCGTTCCGAGAGTTTGTTGAAAATGAAAGCGAAGAGTTTCTGTTTGTTGTTGTGGCGGCATGTGTGTTTTTTCCTTTTAAATATGCAAAATATTTTTCTTTCATGGGGCCACGCAGAATTTTTATTTTCATATGAAATTACAGCAAGCGGGTAAATGGCAGCCAAATTACAAAAAAAATATAATGTTTGGGCCTGACCGCTTTCAAAAATTGCTTTTCGCTTTCATGCTCGGCTAGAGTTTGGCGTTGAATGGAGTAAAGTATATATATATTTTTTGTTGAACTAAAATCTATACAGAAAGAACCATAGTTGCATAACCCTGCCACAAGTCTATACATTTTTTTTCGGGGGCTTCTTAAGTGAAAAATGAACAAAAAATATGCATAATTTATTAGCCAGAAAGTGGTATGTTGGCCGAGCGCACTTCCTGGTTGATACTCCCTTCAGATATTCACTCACGCAAGGCGCATGCCACTGCTGTGATGCACAATGGGATTGTGTTGCAACATCAACAACATCACGCACTCGTCATTAGCCCTGTCTGGGGTAAGCTGCCACAAGTTGCACTCCCCCGTTTAGGGATCGCCGCAAATGCAACACGTGCTCTGCATAAACAATAATAACCTGGGCTGGACTAGAACCGGGCTTTCCCTGCATTTTCCACTTTTCCAGCTGACCGACTCCAACTCTTTCACCCTGTCATTGACCTCCAGGCGGGGATCCTGACACCAGAAATTAGTATAGATTATGCATGCTCGAGAGGCGGCCACAAAAAGACAGAGACATTCGTTTGTTTGGGCCATTTCGAATGAATTAGATGTGGTATTACACGGAGAACAATAAAGACTCCAAACTTAAGAGAATGGAATGCCAAGCGTAGAAGTTCCACCTTCTTTTCTCTCTCTGTTGGCAACCACTTGTTTCTGACAGCCTTTCAGCCTCAAAACTTCAGCTTTGGCCAAGAAATTTCTTAATTTCTGGCCGGCTCTGTGGCTTTTTTGCATAATGTATGTGATAAGCTTGGGGGATTTCTGCTCTGACACAGATACCTCGCAGGTATTTCAACTTTGCAAACGGATGTTGCAGATACTTAAAACGGTCTATGGTCTATGAATAACTTGAGAAGACAAATCCCTTAGGAATCGCTGGCTATATCTGTTCGCTTTGAAGCCTGTATCTGTAAAAAAAAATCAGATTAAAGTCATTAAACTCGCAATTAAAATTTAAATACGCAACACGTCGAGTATTTCTCATAATGAGCAACATTTTGCGGTTCATTAACTTCTCGTTGCCCAGCTGCCAAATAAGAATTACTCGAATGAGATTTTATTAGATGGAGGGCAGCATCGAGGGCAATGAAACCGGCTTTCCAAGGTTACTCCGAGTACTTCTCTCAGGTGATTTTCCGCTCCCCAGAAGTGTGACCCACATTGCATCATACTCTCCATTCTTCTGGCTGGCTCCTCTGGCGTATATTTAGCAAAACGTCCATCTAAAATTAGATGGAACTCACTTCACCCACTTTGCGAGTGCACTTTAGTGCCAGTCTCGGCGACCAAATCTTCCGCATAGCACACTGCCAGTTCGCTTTTCCAAGCTGTCCAAATATTTTCCCTACCTTGCTGCCGTAGATGATTGCATTAGTAAGCCTTCGCCGCTCGATCTGAATCATTCGGACATGTTTATATGACACAAGTGGAACGATTTCGATCAGTACTATAAGGGGGTTCTATTTTCGGCGAGCATTTATAACCATAAGTTGGTGGCATTTCCCCACCCCGGCTCCTGCCTGCTTCGGGTGCATGACATTAATGAGGTTGTTAATCGGCCGACAGATTCAAAAACAAAAGTTGACACATGCCAGCCTTTTCTTCTTCCCTGGAAAAATCCAGAGGAGGTGGAGTCTGGGCCTTCACCTGGCCGCCTAGCCACTTAATTGAATTGTGTATTTTCGGCCTTAATTAAATAGCCGCTGGCAGGGAAAGAGGAAAGAGGTCGTTGCCTTCGTAATACACTTTTAATGAATCTACCCAATCTATGGTAGAGGAATCAATTTAGTTTCAATTTTCTTTGTTTACCCAAGCCCTAAGCTGGGAGCCCTGAGAGGCGCCCTCGGGGATGGCGATCCCTCTCGCCCATGTAAACGCTTCTCTCGTTGGCCGGTTCCCCCACCCCAACCCACCCTATGCGCCAAGTTCTATAGCCGCTAGGGAGCTTCGGGTTGGAGCTTTTTTGTAGTGCCGCCTGCTGGCGCGATCGAATCGATCTTGACGGAAAGTTTTCCTTTGCCCCATAATCAGTCTAGAAAGCGCGCGTGTACGGATCGGATCGAATCAGAACGGATTGCATTCAGTTTCGGTTTATCCTATAGTCATTTTTGCGAAAATACCCCCAGCTCGCAGTTCCCAGTGTGTACTTCTAACGCCTGTTTTATTTATAAGTTTTTTTTCAAGCATTTCTGCCTATACTTTTTTGGGGATTTGCCATTTGGGATTGGGGAATCTGAACGATGCGATACGATGCCCAACCAGTTCATTCCGTTTTTTTTGCAGCTGGAGTTTCGTATGCTTATTTATAGTTTCCCCGGAGATACAATCGCAATCGTTTGATATGTGTGTTTCTATTGTGCTTTGTCGGCGGCTTACGCCATAGTACGCACTGCGTATGAGTGATGTGTGTATATACCTATGATTTTTCTTACTTTTTACTGGCACATTGCCCGACATTACGCAGCTGTTTAGAACCCCATAGATTCCCCACAGCAAAATTTCCCATGTAATATAGTCCAAATCAAAATTATAGTTTGACTCTAAACAGTGTGATTCACAATCTGGCTAAAGATTTCTGACAAACTGTAGCAGTTTTCGGGGTGAGATGTTGCATCAATTCATAAATCAATGCTGACAAGTGCCGGAATGGTGACCACAACACGACATGTGTTCTGGGAGTCTGATGAAACTCTCGTCACAAAAAGTTCTTAAATATTTTACGAGACTTTGAAAGGCGTCTGGAGGAATGGCATTTTAATGCCCAAGTATCGCCCTTAAAGGTTTCCAGATGGATGGTATTACTAGGCAATGCTTCAAGTGATCCGGATCACAGATGTCCAGAATCCATATCGAATGTCAATCGACACCATCATAACATCATTACAATTATGATTGTTTATTTTCTGGGCTATAGCTTTAGCCTATAGTGTAGCCATTCGGGATCTCTTCTCTCCCATCATCTTTAGATATTTTGGATGGCGTCAGCGGCGGAAATGATGCGTCCAGATCCCACAGATGCCGCCTGCTGCAGAGCTTTTTCTGTAAACAAAAATACATTCCCCTCGAAAGACCAAAAAATAAACGAATTTCACACGCAATTCAGTTTGTTATTTCGGCCCCAGGCCTTCTTCTCTTTTTTAAAATTGAAATGAAATAATGAAAATTAAATAAATTAATTCAATTGGCAAGTGGGAATGCGTCAGATTAGATTAAATAGTTTCCTAGGACTGGGACTCATGAGCAAATATGCTTCATGACTTCCATGAATTCGCAACCTCATATCATACATTATTTATAAACCAAACTGATAAGATTGTTATCTAGAAACTCTCGGAAAAGCTCCTAAGTGCTCAACAAAACATCTAATTGCAAAATAAAGAGCAGCTTCCGCTCTAATTCTACATACGTTTGGCGTGGGAGCTTCATGCAAATTCTACAAAAAACTGTAGAAACTGTCAGAGGTCTCTTGGCGAATCTTAGATAACTTAGAGGGGGGAAGCAACGACCCTGATACCCTGGCTATCTCCAGTTGTCATGTAAATGTAAGCGACGTGAGGTCGTAAACCATAAAAACCTCTCGCGAGCTTATCGTATGGCCTTTGAGGCAAGTTAACTGGCTATACACTGAGAGAATACGGTGAAAATAAATTGAGAAAGTTAAATCCCAATTAAGATATTTTAAATTTTAGAATTTTATTCTATTTTTTGTGAGAATGGAGAGCTTTAGACAGACTCCAGATAGACTCTTTTAAAAATGATAGATATAGGTATAGTCAGATATATAGTTGTTGACATATTTTTCCGTGTATGATATCTTATCAGAGCTTCGGCACTGGCAAACAAAAGCCCATTATGTCAACCCATTCATTTATCGCGAATGCCATTTGAGCAAAATAAACTAATCTATGCCCTTCCCTCGATCTATTTGCAGACTGTTCAGACCACTTGGCGGCCCCAGTTGCCGCTGCCCCGGGAGCTCCAGCTAGCCGATGATCGGAACAGCGCCGACGACAACGACTCGAAGGTGATCGCCACCACGACCACCACAGCGGACATCCATCACCCGAACCACCACCACACATCGACGCACCACCACAACAACGAGGAGGAGGAGGAGAGCATGGACCGGCTGAGGGGAAATCACAGCATTGGAGGCTCCTCGCAACAGCTCTCCGGCAAACAGAAATGGTCCTTCGGGCGGCTCTTCCGTAAGAAAAAGGAGGCGGAGAGTGCCTCGTCCAGTGAGGAGGATCGCAAGGCGGGTTTCGTGCCTTCGCAGCGTCAGAGTTCCAGCAGCAAGCCCAAGTCCAAGCACGGAAAAGGATCGCGGGCGTCCGGACGATTCGATCACATTGTGGCGTCGCCCCAGCAGGAGCAAGCACCACCCCATCCGCCGCACCCAGTCGACAACGAGTTCTTCCTGCCCGTAGAGGCTATTCCGCCTGAGCCCTACTACCAGAACCAGCCTGGCTACTATCAAAGGTCCAGCAACTCCCTGGACAGAAGGATGTTGCTGCAACAGCCGCCCACCTACCAGGGGAATGGCTTCCAGCAGCACAAGTCCCGGTCGGTGCAGCGAGGTCCCAAGGTGCCGGGGCACTCCAGCGAGGAGGAGCTGATATCCCTGAACTCCTCCACATTCTCCAAGTACCGCAGCGATGAGAGCATCCATCTGGGACCCGCCGGGCCAGGACAGAGTCGTCGCAGTAGAGCGGCGAGAAACGAGCGATACTACAAGCGGCTGTCCCGCGACGGGGAGCAGAGTCACGGGGGGGTTCCGGCGAACGTTAATCCGCAGCCCCGCTACAAAACCCAACCGCTCCCGCTGTCCATCTACCAGCCGACGAACCACACCGGCGGGTATGTCCAGTGGCAGCCACACCAGCAGCCACAGCCCCAGAAGAGCCTCCAGAACACGATGCAGAGCGACGGCAAGCGTAGCATCAGCTACGACAGTCACATCCACTTGCAAAACATGGGCGGGAGGATGCAAAGCAAGCCCCTGCCGCCGCCACCACCTCCTCGCGATCCACTGCGGAGGGTCCATGTATCTGGCTCCGGCCAAATGGGCTCCAGCTCCGGAGACCTACGGCCCGTGTCCTACGCCTTCGACCAGGGCGGCCGCTGCGTGTCCGACGACCGGATCTGGCAGCCACCGCACTACCAGTCGGTGCACTCGCTGAACTCCCAGCCCACCTCCTCGATCGCCAGTGCCCCGCCAGTGAGCCAGCCGCAGCAGCCCCACCACCGAAGATTCATCACGCGATCGGAGAGGAACGCCCAACCCGGAAAGCAGTCGCTTCCGAATGGCATTGACTTCCACTACGTGGCCGACGCGACTCCCCGCTCCCGGAAACCCATTCACATGATGGACTCTGCCGGCAGGGCTGGCGGAGCAGGCACGCCGCCCTCCAGTGGCATCCTGAGGACGTCCAAGAGTGGCCTGCCCACGCCCCAGCCTTCTTCCCAGCCCCCGCTGGCCAAGCCCCGATCGATTTCCAGCTCCCGGCTGAGCGAGCTTCGCACCTACCCAATGCCCATGTACTCCGAGGTACAGAAGCCCAAGAGGAGTGCTCCGCCGATGGACCACTCCGACAACATTGTGTGCGGCAGCCTGCACATCAAGCCCAGCCAGGATTGTGGCAGTCAGAACTACGTTGAGATCCGCCACCGGGACGTGCAGAAGACCAACTCCATGCCGCACCACTACCAGAACCGCCGCTCCGGAGAGGATCTGCCCAACAAGTACGAGGAGTACGTGGCCGAGAAGCGGGAGCAGCACCAGCAGGCCCCGGCCCAAGTCTACCCGGAACGCAAGCAGAGCAACGCCAGTGTGAATGCTCCGCCACTGTTCTTCCCACGGAAGAAGCCCGCCAACCTGGAGGAGGCCATCAACGAACTGGAGGCCATCTACAAGTCTTTGGGTCTCTCGGAGCCGCCCGAACCGAAACCAGAGCCAAAGGTGGAGGCCGTTCCCAAGATCCGAGTGCCCACGCCCAGTGAGTTCGAGAAGTTCGCACTGGCCCATGCGGATGACTACGATGAGGAGGACTCCCCCACTGGAGAGCCCGATCCCGTCCGCGACGATGTGGCCTTCAGGAACCTGCAGCTGGCCAACCTCCAGCACCGCTCCTCGGAACGGCAGCCGCCTTTTGGCATCCCAGTGGGTCCCATTGTGCCGGCCCCGCAGTCCGACTACCTTCACGTGGAGCCGGTACGGACGCGCAAGAAGAGTGGTTCCCCGGACATCGTAAAGGACGACCTGGCAGTCCGAGCCCTGCGCAAGGACACGCCGGGCCACAAGGCCAGCATCGTATACCCCATGCAGAAAAAGCAGCGGGCCACCAGGACCCAGTCGGCCAACATATACAACCTGATCCACAGAGACGCGGCGAAGCCCTCGGGAGGAGACCTCAGCAGCTACATGGAGCTGTCGCGAAGCCTCGAGAGATCCGGCAGCATGTCCAACCTGCAGGGAGAGGCGGCCGGTGAGCCCAATGATGTACCGGCCACTCTGGACCTCCTGCGCAAGCTGAAGGCCCAGGACGAAGAGCTGGACTTGGCCAGGAAGCACCACCCAATACCCTTTAGACATCCAAGCCAGGGCGGAGCTATCGCCCAGCTCCCGGAGCGGCTCACCAAGGAAGAGGCCTCCAAGGTGGCCCCTGTGCCGGCGCCCAGGAAGAACGTCACTCCGGAACCCATGCTGGACGACGCCCTGACCAAGATTGCCCATGATGCCCAGGCCAGCAGCATCAAGCTCAGCCAGGAGCTCAGTGAGCTGCGCAAGGAGGCTTTGATAACGGCGGCCAGGCCCAAGCTGAATCCCGAGCAGCAGCGACTGGAGGAGGAGCTCCAGGAGATAGAGGCCGTGTCCGAGGCGGCCAAGCGATGCGGTCAGATGCTGTTAGAGACCCTGCCCGACGCCGACCCGGAGGATCGGGAGGCGGAGCAGCCGCCCCAGCGGAAGCTGCACAAGGAGGGCAAGCTCATCCGGGCCATCGACGAGGTGTCCGAAGCAGCCAACGCCGTTTGCGAGAAGATCCTCAAGGATATAGTGACCACCGAGCCACCGGTGGTGGTGCACGAGGCACTGCAGGTGAAGCAAACAACCAAGACCGGAGCCGGCGGGGAGCAGCTGGTAATGCCGCATCTTATCAAGAAACTGGACCCCATACAGTCGGATAAGATCGAGCACATTGCCCGGCGCTGCATGCGGCAGTTGAGCGAGCTGGCCGCCAACCCAGACTACGACAACTTGTCCAACTGTAATATGAGCAACAGCATCCACGCCAATGCAGCGGGTGACGCCACTCTCGTTTGTCCCGTTCCAGAGCCCCGGGCCGCGAACCAGACGCTCGAGGAGATCGACAAGATAATGCAGGAGTGCGAGCGTCAGGCCAAGGTTAGCAGTGCGGGATCCGGTTCCGGATCGGGATCGGGATCTGCCTCTCACCCCAGTACGGACGACCAGCGAACCACCGCTCCCAGCATGACCAGCGGCAGTGGCTGCGGGAGCTTCCCACCCAATGTGAGCACCACCGCCAGCTCGTTCAGCTCGAGCAGCGATTGCCTGGCGAAGTCGTCGAGTCCCTCGCGCGCCAGCCGCCCGCTCTCCTCGAGCATCACCTCCTTCAATCCGTACTCCTCGAGCGACTACATCAAGTCACAGAGCAGCGACTGCCATGCACCCAGCACAGATCCGATCAAGACCTTCAGCACCACCTCGTACGAGGTGCAGTCCACACCGCAGAGCACCACAATCAGCACCAACTCCATGAGCACCAGCCTGAATCCGAACCAGAGCAGTACGATCAGTAGCACCACTAATCTCGGTCAGGAATCAAATTGCACGGGGGTCACATCTGCCACCACCTCGGGCTCACCACCACCGCTGCAGCTAACACCGGTGGGCGAGCGGAGGGGCAGGAGCCGGCACGATAGGGGTGCCTCCTGCTCCTCTGCCACCTCATCGCCGTCGCAGTACAACTCCAGTGAGGAGCTGGCCGCCATCTTTGGCATCGAGGAGCACCCGAAGCAGCCGCGTCACAGGCTACCGTCGAATCCCACAGGTAACGGAGATGACCCCAGCGCCAGCGATGCCCCGAGTTCCGACGCCACTGCCACTGCCTCTGCCAATGCCAATGCCACTTCTACTAATCCCGCCCAGCTCGAACCGGCTAATAGCGCTACTAATCCCGTTCTGAATGCCCCACTTGATGTTACTACTAGCTCCACCACCTCAGTTACCCATCCAACCGCTAACGATAATGCTAGTACCTGTAGTAGTCATAGTTATAAGCTAGAGACGATCCCGGAGCACGATGACCTGGAGGAACTGGGCGACCACGCCGATTCCACGCCCAAACTCTCGCCCAACTTCAACCGGATATATGCCAGCAAAATCCGCATAGTCATGGACCGGGATGAGGAGGACGGTGGAGCTTCGAACGCAGCCCTCACCCAGTTCGACTCGCTGAGCTCCCTGGAGGAGACCTCGTCCAATCCGGACTCGGGCAACGTCAGCCTAACGGACTATCCCCTTGCCAGCCACGCGAATGCCTCCATCGAGCTGCAGACCACCTACAACAGCCGCTTCGAGGTCAGGGAGCACTACGTGTCCGAGGTCTCGATCAGCGCCTCGGAGTCCACGGATGAGGAGCGCACGGACACGGAGTGCTTCGGCAGCCGGGAGGCCCTGAGGGAGGAGGACTTTCCACCCCTGCCCACTGAAGCGGAGCTGGAGGAGAGTCTGAGGGAGGACTTGCAACCTGAGAGCAGCCAGGAAACGGACATGGGTTCAGAAGTCAGTGAAGGGGCGGGGGAACAGGAGCTCGGACTGGACGGCACTGTTAGTCTGAGTAGGGAGGTGTACAACCTGACGACGGAAGCACTGCAGGTGACGAACCGGGACGAGGTGGACAGTAGGTATGGGGAGAGCGCCTGCGAGGAGCTGACTGACGAAGCCGAGATTGCTAGCTTGCTGGAGGCCTCCTTCGACGAATTGGACGAACTGGAACTGTGCCAGGAATCTAGCCAACTGGCCATTAGGGAGGAGGAGGCATCAGATCTCGACGAGAGCGACTCAAGCCGGCCCCTCCATCGTCGCAAGAGCGTCGTCTACGAGACCCCACAGCTTAATCTGAGCATTTCGGAAGTGAAGCTGAAGGGGGAGGAGGAACTGGCAGGAGAAGCGCAACCGGAACTGGAACCCCTTGAGGAAGCCAACCAATTGGAGGACACTTCAGCACGTAACGAGCAGGGCGGGTCAGAAGATGGCACACATCAGCGCAGAGGACTTCCGGCCCGAGAGGACGAGCAACCGACCACCAGCTCCAAGGCGCTGTCGGTATTCGGCGAGGAGCGAACTGTGGCACCTGCGGTGGTTGGTGGTGCAGCCCGCGGCGATTGGACCACTCTCGAGCACGTATTTGTCGCCTGCACCGTGGGCCTGGTTTCCCCCAACGACCTGCTCACTCTGTGCCTGATCGTAATTGGCGTGATTATCATTATTGCAATTGCGCTGGCCTGATGAGGAGAGTGGATTGCGGCTCCTCCAGATTGATGTTGCTGTTAGCCAGTGTTTGTTGTTTTTGCGGAGAAAATGCTCGAGGGGAGGGAGCGGCGGGAGAACTACTCTTACCGCCACCAAGTGCACTTGAATATTTCCATTTTGCGTAATTAGTCTTAGGACATGGATATTGTGTAATTTATTATTTAGTTTAGCTGTATGCTTTCCACGAACCAAAAGTATTTTCCAACTCTATGTTAAGTGCAACAATTTTTTTCTTAAATGTGAACCAAAACATTTCGAACCCACTGTGCAATTCATCCAACATCCAAAAATATGCGAATTACTTAACTCAGTTTTCTTGTTTTCACTCACTCCCCAACTATTAATTACTTGATTACTTAATTAATTGTTAATTTGACTGCAACTTGTGCCAATGATTTTTATTACGTTTACCTAATTACGCGCTAATCATTAATCAACTTAATATTTAATCATAATCCACGATATGTACTATCCCTAATTGTTAAGCACCGATTGCGAAAATGCGACAAAATTCCACAACGAATTAAACAACTTGACGAGTCTACTAATCAGAATATATATTTTCTAAAATTTCTCTGTGTACTTTCAGCTCAAAAGTTTAATAGTTTAAGTTTGTCAGCGAACACTTATCTTACGTAGCATTCATATTATTTCGCTATAATTTAATGTTAATATTATTTGGCAGACAAATGGATCCCCGAAGTCATCAAGCGAATAAAACACATTAATAAAATGTTATTTCAAAACAATCCAGTTTTCAATGTTTTATTTTTAGTTTATCTCATTTACGCTGTAGTTGTAGTTGTTTTTGCTTTTTGTGTTTTTTTTTTTTTTTTATTTAAAATTTAGTTTCCAAAATCTTAACACTAACAATTCCCCACTTAGTTTCCCTTTTTTTACTAACGTGTTTTTGGAAAATAAATAAAAATCCGGATATTAAAGACAAAAATTAATTATGGTTGTTGTTGCTTGCTTAAAATGCCGTCTTACTTTTAATATATATATGTTTTAAAATATTTAACCATTTTTAGAAAATAATATTTGGGAGAAAGGTGTATTGGCTTTGGGTTTGTGTCTACGCTAAAAGCTATTCGCCTTGCTCCGAGCGCCACCTATGAGTGAAGGTTTCAAGAGCTGTGGGCATTTCAAAGACTTTATTAATTAAATTGTTTTCTTGAAGATAGTTTATATAAACATCAAGTATTAACTTACCAAAAGCAAACAAAGATTTGAGGTAAACCTTAAAAACTTTTCTTACTTGAAACTTTGTTCAAAGGACCGTGTATATTTGCTTTTCTTCTGGAATCTGTTTACAAATTGTCTGTCTCGTCAGGTCACCGACTGTTTGCCAAGTTGTAACCCCTCGGATGTTTTATTTGTTGTTTTTTCACCAAATAGAAAAAGAAGAAGCTCTCAGCTGAGAATCGTCTTGCGGCAATAAGAACAACAAAAAAGGGAAAGTCGTGGCCTCATAATAGGACCCATTCAAGGAGCTGTTCAAACTTTTCCCACCGCTCCTTCTTCGGGTTCATGTTGTGGCATAAAAAGGACATTCAACTGCAGGTCGGTCGTCCTGCTTTCAGACCTGGGTTGGCTTATTGTTTTATGCTCCGTGTTCGTCCTTTGCAGAAAGGACGTTAGCCTTTTTTTCCTAATTATATTTTCTTCTAATTTTTTAATTTTTTGTTTGGAAAGGTATTTACCTTGCTCCTATTTTTGAATTATTGGTTTGTCGAGGTTCCTGGCCGAGTTCTGAAAGTATGAAGCCACAAAGGGTTCCCCAGAGTTCATTCACCTTGATGAAGCAGAACCGGAGCATTGCTCTCGTTCACACACTGGGGCACACCAGGCTAAATAGCAATAAAAATGTCAACCGGCTCTAATTTGTTTTTTGTCTACGCCAGGACTTGGCCAACACGACTCGCTTGGCTGCCAGCCCCAAGGACCTCAAAATGTAGAAAGGCTTCCAAGCCATAAATAAACCAAACCGCACAAAGTGTTCGGGTTTGTGTGTCTGTGTGTGGGAAGTTCCTTTTCTCATAGCTCCCCCTATTCCCCCTATCACTGAAATAATCATAACTCACTTAACCCCATTAAATGTGCCAGGGAAGCCCACCCGGCGTATGAGCGACATTCACTTGACACCACCCCCTGGAGTCAAAAGGGGCGTGTCCAAGAGGGCGCTCCGAGTCGGTGACGCTTCATTGAGAACCTTTTGTGGCCGCCCTAGTTGATAACTACTATCAAGCCCACGGTGAGGCAAGGGCTCCCCTCTTTAGCATTACTCATACGCCGCATGGTACGCCACGATATTTGTCTCATTTTGTTTGTGATTAAGCCTAATATTACCTATTCACTAGACCTAGAAGATTTCAATCAGACTTTTTCCAGTTGTCGAGCATTCTGCGGTCTCGATTGCCAGTCTAGTTGGAGCATGTGGTCAGTAGTGGCTTTGGCGCTACTGTTGCGTGGATTATTGTGGTTACATTTGGCGGAGCCCCTCGCCCTCTCTGCCCTTTAGGACTCCCCTATTCCCCTTGCAATCTGATCGAATGGGGGCAGGCCACAAATTTTGCTACCCGAGGCCGCGGAGAGGGGTCACCTCTTTCGGGCCAAGTGACTTGTTCAATTCGGTGGGACTGCAGTTAGAGAGGGCATCGTGCGGATTCCCAGAGAGAGAGAGCTGCCTGGACATCGTCCTTGCCACTGCGCAGGTACAAACAAAATACTTCGCCTCGATGGGAGACATTTGAGTCCAACGGCGAATTCAAAATACTTGAAGCCCTGTTGAAAACTAAACATAAAATAACTTAAATAATCAGATTATACTTTTTAAGATATCATAGTCAAATAAATTATTAAAGAATATGTCAGGATGGTCAAATTTTCAGGCTTCAGAAAAATTAACAAAAAATGGATAACAAACGATTGGTTATAGATTTTAACGAAAGGTGACGGAGAATTGATCTAGATATCATTTAAGGATCTTATCCTTTGGATTGGATAAGGATTGGATAAAAATTTGCCAAGATATGGAAATCTTTTGGGGACTTAATGGGCCCTCGCTTGGATATTAAAATTTTCAAAGAAGTCCCATCCGAAAACTAATAATAAATCTTAAAAAATATAAAATCTTAGATTTTAATGGAGATAGATAGAGAATCGATCTACCAATAGATAGAGCTATTCCTCAGTAAGATTGACCAAGTTATGGACATCCTTTAGGGCTATACATTCGAGACAGAGCCTTTCCCTAAATTGCAACGTTTTTTACAAAATTCCCTCCAGAAAATTGACTAGTTTTTTCCAAGTGTTATCCTAAAAGATTGGAACACGTACTCTCTCGGTCGTGTGTAAAAACCGGCTATAAAATCAGCTGTTCGGATGCTCAGGACCTGTCTGTGGTTGTTGTTGCTGTTGGGGCAAGTTACTGCCACTCCTCTCCAGCCGAGGCAGTAATTGCCTCTGCCGAGTCGTGACGAAAACCCGTCCATAGCCTTGTTGCCTGCCACCGTT